GTGGCGTAGCTTCTCTCAAGTCTCGGGCATTCGTCCCGCGAAACGGACTTCGGAATGCTTTGTCTGACCTGAGATCACGATGCCCGAAGTGGTCAGCCAGCACATCGGAGTCTTCTTCTCTTCCGAGCACTCACGCCCGGATAGCCCCAAAGTCTCGAGTCGGTGAGTCGGAATGCTGGATTGCAATCGGGGTTCAGGCATTCACCCCGAAAGGGCACCCCGAATCAATTAAGAAACCCTGCGGCCAACAGTATGGTGGGTGCGCTGTTTCTGCATGTATAGACAATTCCAACAAAATCCTGACATCGCCAAAAGACACGTACTTTGTGGGTGTGCTCGCTGTTCACTTGCATTTTTTGAAGGAGAACGTATCTTGTAAAGGGCCTCAAATGGGAAGACGTTGAGGGAAGCCATCTTGTAAAATTATTGAGGGCAAAAAGAGTCTGGCGTCTGACAAAGAGCAAAGTCAAATAAGGTACAGGGTCTGCTTCCGAGACAGGGTTGTTCAAAGGAAATTCGCTTAAACCGGTGAACGCTTCGGGATCTGTCAGACCCATCCCCTACAACATGCTCAGCTGCAAAGCAAGGATGCGGCTAAAGCTTATGTGCGCAATTACCAAGTCGCAGTACCTTGCACATTTCCTCCTTTCGGCTTTACACAAACGAGGACTTGAACTTCAAGGCGGTCTCTAAATAGCTACTGGTCCAGCCAAAGCAATCTTGAAACCATGTTTCTAGCCCATGATGCGTGGCGGGATATGAGTACTCCGATCTGCTTGACCCGCCAGCATGGGTGGGTCCGTGCGCCGAACAAACCTGCGAGAATGGGCGCTTGGTTTGCCGCTTTGGAGCCTGCAACTGATTGGACTCTTGGAATCGGTTTCCAAACCAATCTACAAAACGATTAGGATGTGGCTTGTGTGGATCCACCCCTGTAGCATACTAGAAAAGGACTAAAGGAGTACTAAAAACTACGAAAGAACCTACACTGGGAAGAACATGTGAAATCCACAAAAAGCGCATCCAAACCGTTTTCTAGAACCAAATAACTTTACAAGGAATCTCCAAGGGAACTTTCATGGGTGGCTTTTTGGTCATAACGAAACAAACACATGGGACATATTGCCGACCCTTCCTACGGTGGAACCCTTTCCGGCATACGGTGGATTCAGGACACCGGCTTTGCCTCCTTAGAACCGAGTTGAAGGCGATGCTATGTTTTCCCGTCAAAGCAGGCATGCAACAACTTTTTGGTGCCATTAAACACAAGGCCCAGTCAAGAGGCAGGCTCCACCAACAAGGGATAAGTTCGACGACCAAGATTGCAAAATCAGTGGAATGCCTCAAAGTGGACACCACTTGCACTCTGGGCTCACTTGCTCCAGAGAGTTTAGGCAAGGGACTCGTTTGGGCTCAAGCGACCCATGGGTCGAAAGCTCAAGTGTCATCAAGTTGGTCATCTGTCTTCGCACCCACAATACTTTCCTCTCTGTTCTTTGGCTTCAGACGGGCGTTCACTTGCCTCTCGATGTGTGAACTCTGCACATGGGGCATCCCTCGGGACACCCTGTGCGTCAATGATTGCCAAGCCACAGGCAAACCACAGCCACGTTCATGTCAGTCTTCTTCCTTTTTCTCTCTGTCTTCTGTCCCCTTTCTTATTGCTTGATGTCGTCTTTCTGTCTGTCCAATGTCGTCTTTCTGTCTGTCTTCTTCCTTTTGCTCTCTGTCTTCTGTCCTCTTTCTGTCTGTCTGATGTCGTCTTTCTGTCTGTCTTCTTCCTTCTGCTTGCTGTCTTCTGTCCTCTTTCTGTCTGTGTGATGTCGTCTTTCTGTCTGTCTTCTTCCTTTTTCTCTCTGTCTTCTTCCTTTTTCTCTCTGTGTGATGTCGTGTTTCTGTCTGTCTGATGTCGTCTTTCTGTCTGTCTTCTTCTTTTTTCTCTCTGTCTTGTGTCCTCTTTCTGTCTGTCATCTTCTGTCTGTCTGATGTCGTCTTCTGTCTGTCTTCTTCCGTTTTCTCTCTGTCTTCTGTCCTCTTTCTGCCTGTCTTCTGTCCTCTTCTGTCTGGCTGATGTCGTTTTTCTGTCTGTCTTCTTTGCTCTTTCTGCCTATCTTCCTTCTGTCCTTTTTCTGCCTGTCTGCTGTCATCTTTCTGGTTGTCTTTTGTGGTTCCTAGGCGTGATTGTTCTATGTTCTGTGCCTTTGTGGCAAACAAGTTAGTCGTTGTTCTGCGAGTCTTGTTGTTGATCTGATAATCTTGTTGCGGTTCGTGTTCCTGCATGCGTCTCAATGTCAGCAAACTACTTGGGTGGCCGGTGGCCCTATCGGTTCTATCAGTGTTTCTCATGCGGAATTGTCCTTTGGTGTGGCTGGCGTTTTCCACCCCGTTCATTGGGCCCCCTCGACTTCTCATTGGCTGTGGCTCCTAGCTGCGGAAAAAAACCCGTCTGCGGCCGGGAAAAATACGGCAAAACCAGCGGGGCCATCGGTTGCCTGGTGCTTGCTTCAAAACAGCGCCAGGGCTTCGCAACTTCCTGACAAAATCCAAGTTTTGCAGTGGAATAACTCTCCTCTAAAACCCTTTCATGTTCTGCTCAAGGTCCATCAGAGGTCCGGTCAGCACTTTTTTGGAAGCTCCGTGTAAGAAGTCACAGCTGAACAAGACTGTTGTTTTGCAATTGCAAACATTTACATGTATATATATATATATATGTATGTATGTATGGTCCCGTGTTCCGTACTGCTGCCTGCCTCGCTAAATAGCACAGATCTCCCATGCAGGCAACCAACCCTAAGCCAAAGCCCACCTAAACCAAACCCGAACCAACCTAAATGGGCCCTAAACCGATCAACATCAACCAACACCACACCCACTCCAAACCCTCACAAAGGGAACATGTACGTATGTAGTACACATATATATATATACACACGTGTGTAATGTGTATATATATATATATATGTATTTATACAACGGCGTAGATAGACAGATAGATAGATAGATGGGTAGATAGATGGATAGATAGGTGGATAGATAGGTGGATAGAACGATAGATAGAAAGAAAGAAAGATAGATAGATAGATAGTTCAATGATTCATTCATTAGACAGACGCACAGATCGATAGATAGATTAGACAGGTAAGTAGATGAATAGATGTGCACACACATGTGTACATATATATATATATATATTCATACAGAAGGGGCATGGGGCCTACGTTTTTGCAGGCACGTTAAACTGGCAAATTCAGGCATTATATCATCTGCTTCCAACATAGCAACACATCCATCATATGCTGCAAGCTCCTGCAATGAAACAACCAACAAGCGTCGAGTTTTCCCAAACAAACAAACAGCCGCAGACCCCATGGCTCTGGGCAGACCAGGCTCGGGGACATAGGCCCTGCATTTGTGTTTTCTTCTTTTGGGAAACCAGAGGTGCTTTAAACTGTTCAAAAAAGCACAAAAACAAGTTTCCAAAACAAAACAAAAACTGCAGAGCTCTGGGAAAATTAGGCCTGGGGACATAGGGCCTGCAAGTTTGTTGCTTGCTTGTTTGGAAAGCTAGAGTTTTCTTGACAGTTTTCTCAAAAACAAACAACTCTCGGTTTCCATGGGACATAGGGCCTGCATTTGTTTGGACAACTCGAGGCGGTTGTTTTATTTTTCTCATCATCCCCATCTGCAGCAGAATGCCTGCAGCTCTGTGACTTTCGCATCCAGCTCTGCATTCACGCCAGCCTAAGGCATCGAACTAATTATTTGGCTTTGACTGAAAGGATTTCAGTCGACCAGAAACTACGCAGAGCCTGTTCTTGCGAGACTTACCTTCACATGTCTGTGTGGTCGTCTTCCCGTGGAAGTCATCTCGCTTGCGGACTTGCCCTTGAAGGATTTGGACGCGGCCTGTGCCTCCATAAGGCAGTTTGTCGACCTCACTATGGACATACCCAATCGACAATACTAAACTTAGTACTGGAAGCAATGAGTGTATAATTAGCAGTGAGAGTCTAGCATTAACACTAAATTTAGTAACAACAAACGGAGCTGAGAAGTCGGAACCTAAGATTAAGTGGTGACAATGCTAAATTTTGTGTTGGCAATGATTGCAATCAAATGTTGATGTCCTGAACACAACTTATGTGTAAGGAATATAGTTAAACAAGATGGCAATTGTATTTCCAATGTGCTGGACGGAACAGGTAAGTGTACTAAAATACTACTGACATACTGAGTTTAGTAGTGCGAGGCTAAGACTAAGTATTCACAATCCTACATGGTGTATTGGCAATACTGAGTCAACAAAGTGCCAAACTATCTGTTTGCACGACGCCTGCAAAAACGCAGCCCCCCCTCAATGCATATACATATATCTATATATATGTACATATAAATGCATGTATACACCTTCAGGAGCCTACGTTTTCCGTCGCTCAACCACGACCCGTCACGCGGCGATTGGGGGGGGGGGCGAGGGGCAGGCCACTCCGCCACTATACGTCCAAGTAGCCGCGTAATTACACGCCCGGGTTGAGCCCTGGGCTTACGTACGCAGTCCGCTCCGCCACGCCCAGCTGTCGACGCGAGCCTGCGCGGAGCTGACAAAGGCTCAATAAGATGCAGTGTCGCTAGCTTCTGCCCACCTTTGACGTTGCAAAGCTACGGCCGGCTTGCAGCCTTGCAGTGGGGCCAAATCTCCCCAACGGCGGCGTTGATTGTGCGCCGCGGGGCTGGAAAATGGGCAGTGGCGTTGAGCTCAGGGGGCGGGATGGTGGCTTGCCGACGGCGAACGTAGGCGCCTGAGCGCATTTATACATATATATATATATATAGATATACATATGTATATATATATATAAATACATATATATATATATATATGTATATCTATTTGCTTACTTTCATATGTAGCACCGAGACAAATTAGAACGTGGCGAGCGAGTTCAGCACCCGAAGGCCCAAATTTTCGCCAGTCACTCCGAGATCTCTCGCTGGTTTCGTCATCGCGCCCTCGCCTGCCGAACATACAGCCGGACCCAAACCAGGCAAAATCTGTCGGAGATCGAGCTGCAAGTTTTTGACATGTCACAAGCAGAAATGATATCGAAACTACTTCGGCCGCAGTTGCTCCAGAAATGCCGGTCCTGTCTGAGGGTTCCTCCAACTGTCTGAGGGTATCCAATGTTTCTGGTAGTTGAAAGGCTCTCGCATGAAATCTATTGGGCGACGGATCAGAAGTAGGGCATGTGTCAGGGCTAAATAGGTCCACATGAAGGCTCTAGTTGCATAAGTCACAGTTGTCAACTGTGTTCAATCATCGTGCTTTTCGAAAACCGGCTGTTTTTTGTTGGTTTTCGAGAAAGACACCTCCCTGATTCATTTGAATGGGGGAGTTCGACTTTGGTGACGGCCATTGGGGCCTTGGTCGGCACACTTGAAGCTGGAGCCAAACTTGTCTTTCTCCATTTTTCTTTGAAACTTTTCCCTCTTTCGCTGTCTTCGGCGAAAATTCTCCAAACCTGGTCCTTTTCCCCTAAAATGTGGTCTCCCCAAGGTCCAACCCGAGTGCTTCGGACTCGACGTCCAACAAAAACCCCAAGCGCCTCGAGAGCCGCAGTCATGGCCTGCGACAGGAGGGCAAAGCTCAGTGCGCCGAAGCCATAGCACCTGAGCCATGGAAACATGCGGAAAAAGTAGTTGGGAGGAATTCGGACATGCTTTTCTAGAGTTTGATTCCCCATTCTTTTCAAGCATCGTCTTTCCCAAAACCGGCTGTTTTCCCTCGGTGTCTGGAGGTTTTCTAGAAAGAAGGATTCTTGGAAAGAATGGGGAAGGTACTCCTAGAGCTTTCTTCAGCTTCCAAACTTGGACATCTTTCTTGCCATGTGACTTTGCGATTTCGAAAAAGAGTCCGCTCAGAAAATTGAAACTCTGGGGTCAGGATACACCGAAAAGAAAATGTATGTTGATTCTGAGTCTATACTTCAAATATCCTAGGGCTTCGCCATCACCAGCTGCGCTGGCCGGTCGGACAGGTGAGATGGGGAGGACAAAGAAGAACCCCAAAAAGGCGGGACCTTGTTTGGACCTCCAGACCACCCCAAGCACGCGCTCGCTGCGAACCCACACGCACAAGAGGCTGCAACGTTGCACGCACTCACTCAGCCTAGCTTGAGCGCTTGCGTCCGGCGCTTGCGTCCGGCGCCGAAAGCAAATCAGACCAAAAAAGGCATCCCCGGCAGCCCGTCCCAGCCCCACAAAAACCGGTGGAAAAATGCAGAAAACACGGTATGCACGATGTTTTCCGCACAGCGGCGGCGGCCGCACTTGCGCAAGAAAAACCGCCCACTCGATCGCAGACTTGTCCGCCATGTCCGCCTACCGCCCAAACTTACTCAAGGAGCCATTTTTGAAGGGTTTGAGCGATGCAGGGGAGAGGATGCTGGCGGGGATGCTGGCGACTGTCCGGGGCGATTTGCACGGTATTTACAGTGTTTTTTGAAGGTCGGGCAACGTGGCATCAGAAGCCCGTCGCAAGGCCAGGGAGGTCGCGGATGTTTTGGGGTCCAAGTGTTTGGGCCGGCCTGCGTGCAGGTGATGCAGGCAATGCTGAGGAGGAGCTCGGGTGCAACAAGACACGTCAGCGGTATACCCTACGGGTAGGGTTGCCCTCGCTCTTCGAGCTCGAAGACACACAGCGCAGCTGGATTTGGGAACCCGGAAATGGTGACTGTCCTTTTGTTGCTCCTTCAAACCCGCCCAAATGGGGCTATCCTCCAAACAAGACACACCCACTGGAAACTTTAAAGCTAGCTATCGGCAGTCTTGGGCTTGGCCCAAAGAGGTTTGGTGGCGCTTCACTACTTGTACTTTTACCCCAAGCGCCCAACCCGCCGAGTATGAAATCCGGGGTCTGGAAACCATGAGAAACCTGATAAATAGCAGTTTATGAAGATCAACATGCTTTTTCAGTTGAAACATGTTGAAACCACCAAAAAAGGGTACTCTCACAAAGACACCACCACATAGCCACTTGACCACTAAGCAAACACTTTGCCAGGTGTGCGTTTCCGGAAGCTCCCACATCCAAAATTGCGACAGCACTGCGATCATGCGGTTTGGGCAAACCGTCTTGAGATGGGAGGGGCTAAAGGATCTCCAAGGGACCTCTATCTCCAACAGCTCTCCTTTCTGGAGTCTGCCTCAAGGACCTGACGAATGCATCCCCGACCTGAGCTGCAAAGCGCCTGTGTCCGGGGTCCGTGTGCGATCGTAAGTCCCACTCAGGGCATCCGACTCATAGCTCACTCCAAGATACGGAAGTCGCTTCGGCTCCAGGCAGCCGTTGCGCCGAATTTGACACATCCGATATGTGCCGTTTGGTCCGATGTGTGCCTTTGGGAAAGCAAAAGTATGCCCTCGCCATGCTTGTTCAGTGTTCATTTTGAAGCAACATCTCAATGTCGAATCCGATTCGGGGTTCTCGGCTTGCAGCCAAAAGCAGGTCACCATGAAACTCACTTCCCCAGTACAGCAGCAAAAGGTTCACTTCTCGGAAACTGCAGAAGTGCAAGATCTGCAGGTCCGCCCCAATCCAAGCAGCACCGAGCATACAGAGAAAAAAAAGAGGGGCCAGGTTGCTAAGTTGAGTCGACCGGTAACTAAATTCTGCAATTATCAACAGGGATCCTTACATTTATTATACACCTGAACATTGCCTTGTAAATGGTGGTGTCCCTTTATTTTGGTGGAAAAAGCCATGTTTCAAATGGGCAAAATGTATCTTTTAAGGAGCCCTGATCAACGAAGGGATAGGGTTGTGGGAAGCGTGAGAAGGACTCCACACCTTTGACGAGCCATCGTCCGAAGTCCGAAGCGCAGCTTCATCACGGTGAAGCTGCAAAGCCGAACGCCCTTCACGTAGAAGCCAGCCTGACATGGGCATAATTTTCTTCTACCTTAGGGGGGAGGGGGTAGGGGGTCCCCCGATTCCACTATCTAGTAATGAAAGGGACAATAGAACTATAAATGGAATTCCAGGGTCACCCCCCTCCCCCAATTCCATGTTTAAGGTGGCGGGGATATGGGTATATGTCAAAGTAGGGGGAGCCCCAAATAGCGGCGCTCCTTCTGAACTCCCCTTAAACCAACACCAAGGGTGGATGGGCGGTCCCAAACACCCACAAGACAAAACTCATCTGCGCCAACAACTGTAGGAAATGTGCTTGAAATGTGCAAATTGTGGCAACGTGGGATGCTCTCTGTGATGAAGTGGTGGATTCCCATCCAACCATGATTACTGAATCTCACAAACGGCGCATAGAGAGCAAAACTAAATTCAATCTTGCCCAACCATTTGGAGTTTGGAGGGTTGTCTGCTGGGCAAGGGTGTTTCGTCTAGCCGGACACGGACTCACATTTGGGACGGGCTGATCTTTCGTAGACAACTTGGGAGCACCATTGCCTTCTTTGCAGGGGGCTGTTTACCTTCTGTTGAAACCAACGACGGGACGCTGGCCTGCATCTTCCAAAGTACCGGCCAGAGTTGCCCAGAAAGCGCTGCTTCGTGTTTACATGGGGTCCACCGTCGTCAAGTGAGTCAGAATCAAAACCCGGCATTAAAATGGTGAACCCAGAACCATGTAAAGAATTAAGGCGGCCGCAGCTATTTATGGCAAGGGGATTGTCCCTTACTATCCTTCATTTACCCGGGCTTTGATTGACTCAAGTGGTACTTTGTTACATGCGGTTTCCTGAGAACGAACCATGCACAGCGGGGGTATCCCCAACGAGATGCTGGGTGTCTCTGCGCCACGAAGTTGAGGCACGAGCTGGCTTGGTCTCAGGCCCCTGCAAAAAGTGAAATTTAGTCCATTTGGGTATTGGTCAAAACTAAACCACCAGGTTACCGCAGGTTTTAGTCCTTGGTTCCATACCAGGGTTCCGTTTTGGGTATGCATTTTTGACCCACAGCCGTTTCCGTGAAAGGCAGAACGTCAGTTTCCGTGTCGTTCAACGGCAACAAAAAACACAAAGCCTCCGAGCTTCGGGGCAAAATGTGGCCGGCAGCCACTTCAGATTCATGTTAGACATGAGTAATAGACATGGGTGTGTCTCAAAATTAAACAGGGGGGGTTACGCAGGTTTTGGTCCAGGTTTCCACTTACCAGGGTTCCATTTTGGGTACCGGTTTAGCCACAGCCACATGAGTAAATATACATTCTGTTCAAGCTCTGCGTATCATTGCTTTCAATGGAAATGCTGGTTGTCTAGACCCTCAATTCAACATGGTCGTGGGTCTCTGGCAACCCCAATGAAGTCTTTTCACCGCAACACAATGACAAGTCCAAAGGTGCAGCTTTAGGAGAGGAAGAGCCTGATCTCTCGTCTTCTCTCAGACACATGACGTCTGAGTGGCTGAAGGCGTTTTGGATGGGACTTTCGACCTGAGCTCGCGGCCTCGCTTTGCATCATGTACTGCACAATGTATTGTCGCCCGTGGTGAAGGCCGCTGGAGATACAGCTGTCCTCGTCATCCTGCGCACGTGTCTGGTCGCTTCTCGATGTTTGCTGAGAGCAAAGCATCCGCCTTGCTGCATGACAGATTCAACACACAGCAAAAACAATTCTCAATCCATTCGCGGTTTTCCCACGCATTTCTACAAAACAGCCGTCATTCAGCCACAACCACCGCATGACACCATGAGCACCTCTTATGCACTTGTCATTCGTGGCATTTGTGCTTTCGTCCAGCATGGGGATGTAAACTATGTCCCATCCGGAGGCAACTGGGGCAATTGCGCATGGGTTTACGTATTTGGGTATGCTAAACAGCTGCTCAATTTTCGCTGGCCGCTACGTGAGCTTGCCCTTGCGTCCTCTTGCGCCTGCGGTGTTGTTTTTGCAACTGGTGTAGAATTACAAGGCAGGCAACAACAATAAACCGAGGCAGTGTCACCAACATCCGAACACCTGGACCCTTCCGGAACCTTCCCTAAAAGCTGCTTCGAACCACCGCAGAGCTTATTTGGGCCTATCAACCCCAAAGCTTTCAGCGGGAAAGGACAAAAAAGTATAGACCGGCAAAGAAGAAGTATCCCAAAGGTCATCCCCTGCCAGCGGGGGAGCCCTGTTGCGCAGCCACGCCGCGCAAATATCTTGCTCGGCTTTTGGTGCCGTTTTCGAGGAAAACCTGGTCTAATCCTGGAAAGTTCACTTGGCAACTCATGGTAAGACAAACATCTTCTTAGGCGCGTTAAACAGCCGCACTATGAGTTGCACCAACATACTACGCGTACGTACTAGCTCTCTTGCGCTCACCCCTTGCGCTGTCTTGCCCCGTGCTGTGTTTTAGCTCGCTTCCCGGACCTTTTGTATTCAATCTATTCCAGACACGGCTATGCAGAATATCTGTTGATTGCAAGGTTCACACGTGCTCACCATGAGTGGTGGGCCGTGTTCCTCATTGCACGATCCTGCACCTGCATCATGCGTGCCTGTCACGTGCATCAGTCTGCTATCCGTGTTCTGTGCATACGTCATGCTGGTAAACTTATTTATCTGGCATTTGCTATTCCGCATACACATTTCTCATCATATCGCATCACTTCATCTACTGCATTCTGGGCAACAAACATAATTTACGCTAGCGTGCTGATGACAACCAATCACCCACCTGATCATCCGACAAGTTAAACAAATGAAACACACCCGCCAAATAGAACTAATCGAGCCAGAAAGTCACATCACAAAGCAACGCTCGATCCGAATCAGGAAGATCAGGCTAGATCAGCATTGGAGGTTGGCACAGCGAATCTCCCGATGGCAGGTATTCTGACGGTTTTCATGTGACAAGTCTCAGAAGGCGTCCCTCGTTGTTCGACTCGTGCGAATTCCTCAACTCCCAAGACCCTTTTCGTGGCAAAAGAAAGCCGTGCCTCTGTTTTCTAGGGGACACTTCCCCATTTTCCAGGATCCTTCTTTCCGAAAAACCATCAGACCCCCCCCCCAAAAAAAAAAAAGCGATCGGCTTTTGACAAGAAGGATGGTTGAAAAGAATGGGGAATAGGAATCAACCCTAGAAATATGGCTGGTTTCCCTTTGGTTTCAGCAAAATCGCTGGTTTGTTGGTTTCACCCGTGAGTGGGGTTGGTGTGGGCTTGGTGTCCTTTTGGTTCATGAGTTCCCCGAGAACCGGAGGAGGCGCCTCCTCAAAGTCCCAGGAGTTGACAAAGGGCGCCACGCGCGTGCACTTCTCCGTCACTGACGCGGCTCGCGTCAAGGAGTACCTCGCGCGCAGATTCCGGCTCACTTGTGTCGCTCAGGTTCTGCAACCGTGACTCAGGCAGAAGTGTCTTTACACGCGTACCAACCTATACGGTATGTTGATGGGATATGCATGGACATACTTGGGGCACGTCCCATGGGCACGCTTTCAAGGAGCCAATGCTTCGCACGTGATAGTATACATATCCTGCATATGTCAACGAACAACCAATGTAATCTCCCACCTGAATCAGGCTGTTGGGCCCAAACCAAAGTTGTCAAATGCCAACTTGCCCCGCTTGGTTATTGTCGAGCATTCCTGCTGAAGTCAAGCATCAGTCCGGCAACCGACACCCTCTTGCATTGTGGAGTCGCTCAGAGAAACTGGAGAAGGAGAGCATATCAATTAAATGCTCTTACATATTGTGTCTTATCATTATCTATTCTATTCTATCTGTATCTTCTCAATAAGTTCCTTGTTTTGTTTCATCTAATATCGATTGTTTTGGATACTATTGTTTTGTATATTACTTAACTTATGAATAAGCTCAGGTGATATCCCCAACAGCATGCCCTTGGTGGAACCCTGGTGGAACACTGGTGGAACACTGGTGGAACCTTACCTCAGGGCCGCCCCGGACCCGGAGCCTATCTGGGCTGAGACCCCAAAGCTTTCAGCTGTTGGGGGAAAACAAAAACGTATTATTTGTCTTTATCTATATCTCAGACGTGTCGCTTATTCATAGTATCTTCATCTTGTTTTCTAATTGGTGTCTTGTTCATGATATATGTATCCATCGTTAAGATTATTTGTCATGTCACGCTTCTCTTTTCCTTTCTTCAATCTCCCACACGTTCCTTCCATCTCTACATTTCATTGTTTCTTCATCTGCGAACAGGTGCAGAAAGAAAATAAGGCAAGGGATATGCTGTGGAAAGGAGAATCCGTCCTACCTCAACCACATATCTACCTCACATGAACCCTCTTCGTCCCAAGCCTTCAAAAGCACGACCTCGTCATCCAAAGATTCAAGGCTTGGGAATCATATCTCTTTCATTCCTTTTCCAGCTCCAATGCCCCCTTGACCTGACCCCATGACGCGCTTGCTCGGGGCCATCTCGCCTGAACCTCACCCGCTTATTAAAAGACGAATCTCCTTGGCCCAAATCTGGGGATACGTTCAGATTCTGGTCACGACTACCTGAAACAACAAACACATATTGGAGGAGACCTGAAACCACAATCTGCTGAAGCAGCAGCACTGTTACCTTTTTTACCCTTGGATCACTGTTCTAGAACGTGGCCCTGGGGGGCCGATTGGCTCAGCTCACCAACGGACCAACGCCGAGCCCTTTCACGACACGATGCGATGCCCAAACCGTCGGGCCCCCATTCCGAGGGGCAGGAGAAGTAGCACAGGCGTGTAGACCCAGCCGAGCCACAGCCTGAGTCCCCGGAAGTCACGTGTGGCTTTACACCTTGATCACTGTAGAACCCTAGACATGGTGAAATCCACCCCTGAAAATAAGTTTGTGTCGCAAACAATACTCAGTATGTTGTCCTAGATGTTTCCCCCAATCTGGAACAAACCACACCATTTTGCCTGGCAAGAGAGGATGCTAGTGGGGGGGTAATACAGTAAGCGAGAATAGATATTGATCGTTCCTCAGGTTTGTAATTACCCAAAGAGCACTGCAACAACTGTCTCCTCCTGTCACAACAAATCGGGCAATTCGGTTTCCTTTCGAGCCACAAGGAACAACTCGGCCATCTTTCCCCCGTTGTTGATTGTTCTTCGGTTTGGTGTTACTCTTGCTGGAATACTTTCAAAGCCATCCAGTTGCCGTACAAAGCTGAAGTTCGACGAATTCGGCGGAAGTTCGGCGAGAAGTTCGGCGAGTTCAGCTGAAGTTCGGGAATTCAGCTGAAGTTCGGTGAATTCAGCTGAAGTTCGGCGAATTCAGCTAAAATTCAGCTAAAATTCAGCTGAAGTTCAGCTCAAGTCCAGCTGGTCTTGGAACGCTTTTTTCCGCTACAGAACGCTTCCTGAACACTTTCCACCATGTCCGGAACACTTCCGTAACCCAAAGTTCAGCAAGTTCAGCTGAAGTTCGGCGAATTCAGCTGAAGTTCGGCGAGTTCAGCTGAAGTTCAGCGAGTTCAGCTGAAGTTCAGTGAATTCCCCGAAGTTCAGCGAATTCCGGTGAAGTTCCGCGAATTCAGCTGAAGTTCGGCGAGTTCAGCTGAAGTTCAGCGAGTTGAGCGGTTCAGCTGATGTTCAGCAGGCCCTTTTCAACCCCCACTTACCCCAAGTGCGCAGAACCTGACCGCCGTCTGTCAATTTCCCCCCAATATGCGTTCTGCCTAGCTGTGTGGAAACACAAGCATCAAGATGCGTTCGGCTGATGATGACGAAAGTGCCGAACGCTTGCTTCAAACCTGGCCACCCTAAGCCTGACCTAAAATGGGTAGTGATAACCTATGCCTCCATTTTGCGGATGAACACCCATGTACCACCTATTTTTGATGTTCACCAGGGGTTTCCAGGGTTTTGACCGACAGCCAAGTGGCATCCCAAAGTTTAAAGTCCAGGAACTCGGGGGTGAGAAAGGGGAAGGGTGCCACTAAACAAATGGGTAGTGTTTTGGGCTACTGGGCACCGACGGAGGTTGCGGTGATTTCCCTTCGAACCTCAGGCTCGTGGTCATGACTCTCTGCAGAAAGAAGCGAACAACTTGCTGTGAATTTGTGTAAAATTTCCCCCAACGAATGAAGGTCAAACATCCAGGAACGACATGGTAGATTCAAACAAGGAGCACCGCCGGCAGGGGCTTGTGCAGATACTCCGGGTGCGCCCAAACCTGGCGAGGCCAACATTTTCCGTGTTTGATTGAGCAGATTTCTCACTTGCAACTCACCTTACCCCATGGTTTGGTTCCTTGGATGTGTTCCGGGGATGCTTCCCATTTGCCCTCAACAAGAACCAGGGGTTCGAATCCCCAGTTCCCGCCAATCCAAACCAGCAAGGGAGTACCTCAACAAGAGCCGTAGGGCAAACACATCCGATATCCTGTTGCCGGCTTCTGGCAAGTGGGAAGCGACTCATGAGCAAACAATTCGAGCATAAGGTCTAATGTTGGCTTCGGGACTTGACATGGGTCAACACAAAAATATCCAAATATGTTCTGGACAACTGAGAATAAAAGCACCAGCAAACCTGAATTGCTCGTTTCCCACCTTGCCAACCTGCTGGGAATGTGATTTGTCGTTTTTTCTCAAGCGGAACAGAGTACCTTGAAAACTAACACCCCAGAAATTGGGCACGTCTTCTTGAACATCCACTTTTGGTTTTGGACTAAAACGCAACCAAAAGATGACATACCCCATGCCCACATACACTTTTATATATAATTTGCATATTTCGGCTTGCCTTCTCAATTGCTCACCAATGTGGGCACAAAGTCGAACCCAACCGCCCCCGAAGCAAACATGCTCGGAGCGAAAAGCAAAACAAACATGTGCTCCCTTCTTGCCCATGACCAAAGAGCCAAAACCGCACATCGACTCAACCGGCCGCTCGCCAATTCCAAGTAAACATTAGCCCCACCTAGAGGAGATCCCTGTCAACAAATATGCATGTACATGTAGATGTCTCATGGCTCGCGTTTAGTCGAGGAAAAGTAACAGTGTATCCTAACTCCAGCCCAGGGGAATATGAGAAAAACGGGTATGAGTCTTACTCATTTCCTTTCTTCATTAGTATCTTGTTTTGTCTCTTCATAATTTCATTTGCTATATCTTTGTCTCTTATTTGGTGCCCTTTTGCCATCCCTTCCAACCACACATAATGAACAAAGGAAGAGATGGGACAGACATAATACAAGATGGATATGTGAGAGAAACAAAAACATATGAAGGAAAACAATGGATAATCTGCTGTTCCCAATCATATCTCTACCACCTATTACTGTCAGCATTAACAATTGAAGATAGACGCGGTAGAGAGGACATCATTCACGTGGAGACTTATGCTCGCCAACCACGACGGAAAAGTTCAGCCATGATATAGCTTTGTCTGAAACCAGGGAAACAACCTAGGTTGAGTATGAAAAACAAATGTCAGCATTTGGTTTCCCACCAATACCCCCACAAAGAGGATACACGCAAACAATGATCTTTCGACACACTCAGTGCCCATATCGGGCGTCCTTTTTTATTGACTCACCGCATCTCAACGACATCCACCAATGGGGGATGTCATTTCCCAACCACTTTTGAGGGGGTTTGGCCAACCTCCTGCCAAGATGGTTGAAACGGCCTTCTTGTGGGTTTTATAAATGGCAAGTTCGATCCTTGCTCACAATGTCTCACCCATGGAAAACATAGCCCCCCTCCGGGAACATATGTGGGGAATTGTTCATTATCAGGACGTATGGCCCACCCCGACAGCATTTCACTTCCGTGGATCGGACAACAAGTTGTTAAACTGTTTGCTTGTCACTCGAGCTCTTTTCCCGACAAGTCGATCCAAAGTCCAGAAACTCAGCGAGGTTTTGCCAAGCGCGGAAACAAAAACAACAACATCGGGGGAAAAAAAAGAAAGTCGACTCGCTCGCATCGACTCGGCCTCAGTGGCCAAAAGCACCAAGGACGCGAGGCAGCTCGCAGCCAGGACCATGAACGAGCATTCGATGCGACCTAAGGTCCAACCAAATCTGGGCTGCCCTCAGATCCCCCGCTAAAAGTTTGACTTTTAGTCTAAATGGAAACAACTACTAAACATCAAAAGCCTAAAAAGCTACCAGGATGGCTGGGAGACACCAAGAAATATCACCCGCTAGATTCGACCCATTGATCCATGGTCAAGGCTTGGCATAGATACGCTGTCAAAAAAGCGGGGGAATCCAGTGGGGCATTAAACACAGCCCCAGATAAGGGCAAGAATTGGTCAAGCGCTTGAGGCGACCTCTTTGTGTAAGGCTTCGATTCGACCCCTCCCCCCCATCGGTTCATGGACAGCTTTCCTTTCTGCCGGTCCACAAGCTCTAAGAGTTCCCCAGGGCGCCAGGCGCCAGCGTGGGCGATGGAAAACAGAAACTTCGGATTTCAGGTTCAATGGGTTCTGAGGTTTCTCCATTTAGGCGATTTATCATTATTTATCAGTTAACCTCAGATGGATGGCTAAACCTTTTGTGGGTTCTGCATCCATCATTTTGGCCAAGGGCAGCCAATGGCAGCCATGCAAAATGATGCCAAACGTTAAAGCATGTTAAAGCCATGAACATGAAGCTTTGACATCGTGACCTGAAATTTTGGCCATTGCCCGTTGACTGCCCCGTTTCGAAGACAGGGGTCGACCCGGTTTTCTTGGTGCAACAAGCCTCATTCAAGGGTCCCTTTGTTCAATGTCTTTTGGCAGAGTTCCTCGTATGGGTTTGACTCCAAGTAGGAGAACCTCTCAAAATGGGTTGTTGTCTCTTGGTGGCCCTCCTGTTCACACCGAAAGAATCAAAAGGACAACCCCGGCTGGGAAATGCCTAAAGTACGGTTGTGGAACTTCTTGCCCCTTGTGGTAACGTGGCTGATTCCTATGTTCTCGTCCAGCCACTACAGTCAGTCAGTTATGATACATCCAATGCGAACCTCATGGTCTTAGGACCTTAGACCATAAGAAAAGACATATGTTAGTCATGGTCCCAGCTCCGCCAGTGCGTCGTGGTCAAAGCTTTCTCGGTAGGAAGCCATGTGACTAAAATTCGAGTACATGCTCCGTGAAAATGCCTAACGACCTCAAGGGGCCTTTGGGCCATGGCAGATATGATTTCCTTCACTTAATCAAAGACTTAAACGTGCTGGTCGTGCGGGCACCGCGGAACTCGTAAAAAGCTCTCAGTTTTGAACATCGACCATGCAGATCTCCGCAGAGGGTCGAAATTCCGAGCGTTGTCCTAACTCCCACCCCGGCGCCTGAGAAACCTAAACTAACTTACGTAGCTGCTTACGGCGAAGCTCACCTAACCTTGGCTCTGTGCAACTTGGCGCTGTGCAATATGGCTCTGTGCAACTTGGCTCTGCGCAAGTTGGTCCAAGGGCTCCGCACGGAAGAACCCTTCACGATGCTTTCGGGAATAACATGTCGGATGATGCTAAATTATAAGGATTAATAACAGTGACTACTAATCATAATAAAGAGAACAGCGAAAAGGACACCGTCCGGCCAACTTGGGAGGCGGTTGAGGAATTCGGAATCCACGTCGCCAAGCTGCTAGAAGCACATCGAATCAGCGCCTGGCAAGCATGAGAAGGTCATGGCCCGGCAAGTAGTTTTGAATGCCCCCGGACTTGTGTCCCTCATAAGTCGCCAATGGTCAAATGGCAATAGCTGCCCTTGCGAGAGGGCAACGCAAGATATACGCCATGTTCAAAGGAGTCAATGTAATAGCTAAGCATCCTTACGGGTTGGATAACTATCCCTGCCAACCCGCAAAGGAACCGGTCTCTTGGACCATGGCACATCCGGAGGAGCAGCCGTGACACTCTGCCAGCTATTGCAGGGAAGGCATGCCCTAACCTCGGAACCTGGGGTTCCTCCAAAGACCCTGGACGGGTAGAAGCTGAGTCTGCAAAGGAAACTGCAGAAGCCCATGCGCCATCCAGTTGGCACCTAGGGCCCATAGCAACGTGGGAGGGGCCTACAGGCTTTACTTGGCCTACAGGCTTTACCTACTTGTTGCCCGCATTCTGCAAATCGAAAGTTTGAACGGAATCAGAGGACTTGGAGTGACATCCTCTCGGCGCGTCTCGCATTTCTTCCCGAAATGCGAGCAAGCGCTGCCCTCCCAACATGAAACCTGCTTGAAACCAATGAAGCCCTTCTTGGCCCTAGGCTAAAAAGCTTGACTCGAAACGGTCCGCGGGGCTGGGGAAATCCATAGGGCTACCTCGGACCGGGAAAACAACAGTTGGACATGGCAATGACTTTTCAAAAGGGGCGGGACGCACAACCCTAGACCAAGTTCCTTTTCAAAGGACCTGGTGGATTCTCGGTGGCTGTTCCGGAATCACATTGCAATCACGTTAGATTGATTCGCTCTGTATCAGTGTGTTTGCTCAACCAAAGGTATAGTGCTTTGGCAATTAAACTAACACTTGTGCTCTGCTGTTTCCTTTGGATGAAATCGACAAGGGGACACAGCCTGTCCAACCCCAGCCTTTGTTTTCACCCAGAAGCCACAAGCAAAACCCGGGGCCGGTGGGGGAGACACACAGGTTGGGGCATTGGAAAAAGAGAGCAGAGTGCCCAATGCACTATGTGGGTCTGTCTGAAAATTATAGACTGATGAGCCATAGCAAGAAGAGGTATGGGAGGGTGTTCTGGCCAGTAATGGTAGATGGCCTTTGCTGGTCACTAGTCACCAATGGTTCTGTCAGTCTGCAACGGCTCCTCGTGATACGGCTCTGAATAAGAATATGAGAAAGGTTGGTATTTAAGAAAAATCGAAGCCAACCATAATGGACCACTATTTTCAGAATCCTAGGCAGTAAACTCCCATTGACATGAAGGAGCCTCTTTGGGCTATGTTTTTTCTTTATTTTTTTCATCAGGGGTTCAAACGCAAATGAACCAGATACAATGATGTATTTTTGTGGATCATGGAAACCTGTCTACATCAAAACACGTATTTCTTTCTATATAGGTATGACCATGCAAATCATATGCGCCCCTTCCCAGGAGTGAAACAAGAGGCACTTGCTGGGCTCTTTCCTGCATCTCGGCTCTCTACCATCAAGGCTCCCCTTCTCCCCTTCCTCACTTTAGTGGATGCAGTCAAAACTTTGGTTTGCCACCAAAATTCTCCAAAACCAGCAAGTATGACTTCTGTTCGTCCCTCTTTTCCTTACTTGAAAACGCTGAACTCCTCCTCCTAACCTGTTCCACCCACCAGAATGCCCCCAAAGGACACAACAGTACAGGAATTCATTCCAGTCCGGATTCCCCTGCCTCGATTTGAACATCACTTACGATCCTTCCAGAACAACAATTCCCCCAGTTCCTGCCACAAAACTCGGCCCGTCTTCTCTCCCCGTGTCATTATCCGCATTAATCCACCCCAGCTTATATTAATAGGGGGGTGGGGACCGCTCCAAACGTCATGATTCCCCACATGGCTGTGGGTCAAATCCCTGTACCCCTGGTGAACATCAGAATAGGTGGTACATGGGTGTTCATCCGCCCCAAAACGGAGGCATAGGTTATGACCCATGGCCACATGTCACCCAGACCTTTCGACATTCCGACTCATCCGCCTGCAGGATGTTCCACTCCTCCATGGCGGACTCGATGTTCTTCGTCTCGAAGAAGTTGGCCGAGAAGGTGTCGATGGCCAGCTCCAGCGCCGAAGAGGTCTCAGAGAACCCACGCGGTCAAACGCACACAAAGTGACGTGCAAACAAAAAGGAAGCCATGGAGAAGAAGCCAGACAACACACGTATACACATACAAACATATATATATATATACATATATATATATATATACATATATATATATACATATATGTATATATATATATGCCTATGGTATATGTGTATATACCTTATAAACATATACACATGTGCATGCCTATACATATATGTGTGTATATATATATATATACGCATGTATATTCTAATATGGCTCTGGCCCAAAAACCGGGCTGCGTTTTGGTCTGTATCACGGGTCTGGATCGCTTGCAGGCCTGGACATCTGATCCGGACCTCTAGTAATTTGAGCCGCAGACATGAGGTGCACGTATATGTACTACGTCCTCCAGTAGGGAGGTTAGAATAAGTTGGTACCCGTGTTCTTTTTTCCTTTTCCTGTAGTCTATTTTAGTGGGGGGACCCTCCCCGCTAAAAAGGGGAGAGAAGGGCACTACTGGGGGACCTAGTGTATGAGTGGGATATGTGGGATGTGTGTTACCTTGTGTTTCCAACAGCATCCTTCAAGGTGGTGCCCCTAGTTAAGTCTTACATAAAGCTACTAAACACATATTGTCCAAAAGAATGTGGCTGCAAATCAGGCCCGACGTGTGCATCGTACCCGTCCGGTTGAGTGACCCCCTTCCAAAAATATGTTGATCGCAAGGTAGGGACAGGTTGGTGAGTCATTCTCATAATCCCGACTGCCGCAAGAACGCAAGATGCAAGTGTTGTGAGCCCTGCGCTTGACTTTCGCCGATTTTCTAGTATATTGTAGCAGTAGATTCCAGGCTTCGCAGTCCTTTTGATTTATGAAAACGAACAAGACTGGAGTCCGTACCCTCCCTCTGAGGGTGGCTATAAACCACGCCTCTGGGTCCATCTCTTTTTTAGTGAGGTGAATAAACCGGGGACCAGGAACCCACGGCTAAGCGGCTGTCCGTCATTGCAACGCAATTCACGAGGTCCAAACATGGCAACTCAACACCCGGGCATTGAGGTAATTGAAACATTACACTTTGACTTGACCACCATCAAAACAAAGAAACCAGCCCAAGGACATGCTACAGAAAGTCCGATGGTTGGATGGGACTTTGTGAATTTACGAGAGCTTCCTGAAGAAATTATTGGCATAGGAACAAACAACCTCACTTCAGCTAGCGACACGCTGGTATTAAGCCAATCCGGCAGTGAAGGAAAACCCGGGCAGCTGTGACGTAAAAAGGTATGCGCTTAGAAGCTTGACCTGGAGCAAAGGGGTGCCCTGACAGAAGGGTCATCGAATTAATGTTTAAGTTGAGCATCTACAGGTGGATTTCAATGACATTTATATAAGGGGCTCAATATAATGGTTCTCCTCCAATGTTCATGGCTTATGTTGGTTTTGCAGTGCCCTACAACCCGCATTCGAATTATGTAGGCCCTTGTGGTACAAGGCTTGAAGGTCCAACAAAGGAGAACTAGGGTTGTACATCGCGGCAAGGCGCATGCAGCTGCACGTAAAAGATGGCCACTACACAGAGCATGGCCAGCGAGTATGAGCCCAAGGCCAAAGCGTCCTGGCGTGAAAACGCATACGTTTCCAAGGAAGGGTGGAACAAAGGGGTAGGGGCAGCGGGGGGAGGGAGGTAGGGGGTCGGGAGCTTCTCACAATCATGGCCCCTCTTTTTAGTTGTTTGAAGGAAACCCGAAAGAACCAAACATTTTACGAAACCCCTATACACAAACAACCATATGGGCAACCTTGTTTCAAGGTGCCATGTTGTATGGGTTTCTATTTTGAGGGTACCCTTTTTAGGATACAGGGCTCGAATCCATAGTTGGGGGGGTCCCTGATTACATAACATGTGCCATGGTCAAACTCCGCCAGTGACTGTCTGTCCTCATGTTCCCCCCAAGACTGGTGTGAAAGGAACATCCGTACTCAAAAAATGATCAGCATCGCAACAAAACCTGGTGTTGAGAACATAAAAAAGGGGGCTGGGCCAGTCACCTGTTGAACATGGTTCAACCAGAGTCCAAGCCATCTTTCAGTTTCCTTTGAAGGGGACCTTCCGACTGCATTCCTAAGAAGAAAAGGCTAACTTGTTGCGAGCTTGCCTGAGAAACTGTGTCCTGACAAAATGTTCGCGCAACTGAAGGCTGGCCAGGCTGGCATGATGCGCTTCTTCTGGACCTCTCCAACCAGAGCCGCTGTGGCGGGCAGCCTTTGTGGTCTTGTGTCAAAGGAAAGCCAGCGGGACACACCCATTTAACAACCTATGTTATGGAGAGAACACACATCCCCTTGTCGGCCTTGGACTTCGTCGCGCTGCTTTCTGGATGGCTTACGGCTTTGATTGCTCTGTTTCACTCCTAGTGACTGACTCGCCCTTTCTTTATGTCCCCAAACTGCCACCCAGCTCACCGTGTTTCCGCTGTGGCTTCTGGCATTCTCCGCGCTCTGATGGCCTTGTCCAGGGAGAAGCTAAAACCCAAAGCACACCCTAGCTCAGCAAGCGCATTGGTGTGGGTTCCTCAAGTGAGAGACCCTCTATGGATTGCTCGCACGCAAAATCAAGAGGTTGAAGCACCCTTTTGGAGTTAATTCAAAGAGAAACCCAAAGACCGCCATGTTTGCCGAGTTCCCCGATTTGTCAATCAGGAAGCTGCTATGTCCCATCTAGTCCAGGAGCCAACAGCTAAACGGTTTAAGCAAATTCCTTTGAGCCATTCCATGACAGCTTTTGGGGCAGCGTTCTTTCGGGCTTTCTCCCGGCTTCGCTTCAGCTGCAGGTTTGGATCTTGGAGGTTTTGAGAAGGTAAGGGGTCAAACTCCCAGTCTCAACCAATTCAGGCCGACCTGAACTTCCATCTGCGCTTGTTGGTTGCTGTAAAAGGACTTTGGACATGGGTTGAGAAAGCAGTTGCAAGTTAGGACCCTAGTGAATCTTGCCACAGTTCGCTTCTCCCAGCGCTTGCTTCTGTCCTGCCACGCGTCGCCCGTTTGCAGGCCCATGGCGCACTCATCGGCGAACACGGAGGCCAGTATCCTTCATCATGCTTGCAGTCGAAGCCAAGTTCGAGGGTTTCAAGGGCCCAACCATGTGGGAAGATGCCATGTGTTTTGTAATCACAAGGAACCTGCCGTGTTGCTCTCCCTTAAAACAGGCAAACTCGTCATATCGGTGGAGTGGTTGTTGGGCTGTTGTAATCCTCTTTTGAACGGGGGTCGCACAAATGCCCGAAATCCTTTGGAGATCGGGCGTGTGTTTGGGTGTTTGGAGCCGCCAACTTCTGGCGTAAGTTGGGTGTTTTGTATGAAATAGGGGGGGTTCAAACAGCCTGCTTGTTGTTTTGACTTCCCAGCAACACTCCTGAAGATGGGTGACAAAAAAATACGCCCCATTTTGGGGTGCCCAAAAAGGTACACGCCAAAACAAAAAAGAACGAGGGGGATTCTTCCTCTGGGTTTCTCTGTTCACGGACCTGAAAAGTGCACCCTCATAAAGCAACGAAAAAGCAACCAAGTCTGGCGACAACCACAGCCAGACCCAGAAGAACCCTCCTGCCCCCAGCTACAAACACCTGGGCACTCCATCCCATGCCCCAAGCCCCCACCCGGAAATCAAACCCCAAAACCCAACCCCAAAACCCCCCCCATCCCCCATCCCCCATCCCCCATCCCCCATTCCCCCCCCCACATCCCCCCCCATCCCCCCCCCTTATCCCCCCGTGGGCCATCTTGTCCTGAAGGTGACCATGGCCGCCCACAGCCCCAGCAAATCCATCAGCTCCCGCAGGGCCAAATGTCGCATCGGCGCCAGGAAGCCTGAGCTTCCGTTTTCCTTCCCACAAAACATCGACCTAGACACCACCGTGTTCCGCGCTCCGGAACATCGACCTAGACACCACCTATGAGTCTATGGGTGTCTTGTTTTCTTTTGTTGGACCCGAAGCTCAGTCTGGTGGTGGAGGCCGAATCCCTGGGTCTGTGGGTCTTTGGGCTTCAAACGGGTCCCACAAGAGACTTAGGGGTTTGGAGCCCGCTGATTTTGGTGAGGTGTTGGTCTCTTCCCTATAGAGTCCCACTGAACATCTAGAGACCACTTCTATTGGGTGTCCTTTTGTTGACCCTGGTCAGAGAAGCTCTGTAGTTGCTGGCTTGGAGCCGGTCGGTGGGTTTAGTGGGTTTTGTTGGGTGGCGTCCGATGCAAACCTTCTACAAGAACCAGGGCTTCAAATCTGAATCCAAACCCCCAATCCAAACTACCAACTAAGGGTTACCTAAGAGGTGATATGATGGGGGTCTCCCAAATCGATCAAAACTGCTTGGTTTCCCTTTGGCGTCCTTCAAAACCACCATGACTTTGGGGATTTTCGGAAGCACATTCCAATTTCCATACCCACGGGTTGTTCCCATAACTAATCATAACTGCTTTCTAGTCTACTTTATCACTTTCAAAAAGAAAGGAGTGGGTCACTCACAAGACGACTCCGCCATGTTCAAGTGCCATTTTTTGTTGGTATGGCAAAGTCTGCCCCGAAGCGCCTGCTTTCCACGACCAGAGCACCTCGCTCGGCTTATGATGCTTATGGCTTTCATGGGCACATGAGCAGACCAAAAGCCAAGCGAACTTCGATGTGTTGTGCTCACTCAAATCATCTTACAGGAGCTTTCAGCAATCCCCATGAAGCTTCGGTCCTCTTGCCCAGTCGTGTTTTGACCTTCGGAATCCATGTTCGGGTAAGACCAAATCTATTGGATAATTGGCTTCCGAGTCACACCCCTACTTTGGAGAGGTGTGAAAGCTGACTCAACTGCACAGGGTTGCCTGGGTCATTTTCAGTCTTTGACATCGCGAAGGTCTCGCCAACCAGGACATGCGCTTTGCTTAGTAGAGAAGTATGAGAATGATACCAACCATTCCTTCCTTGTAGGGAACGGTCGGATTTTTATACCCCTAGTCACCAAGCAAGAACAAGTATACGTGCTCACCATTCTCAAAAACAAGCAAGGCGGTTCAAGGTGCTCCAACAAAGCTTGGCTCTGTTTGTCACTTGGCGTAACGACTATTTGCCGAACAGTTTATCAACTTGAGGGTCAAACCAAGAGAGCAGTCACCTGGTTCACGGTAGATCTTCTGAATAGCTGTATTCGGGGGGGGGGGGACATTTTTGGACACCTCATGGCCATACTGTGGATGGACGAAATGCTGCAGCACATTGACACTATTAAAAAACAAAAATGTTGGTATTTGCAGGGGAATCAGCATTCCAGGGTTTCTTAGGTGGTGCAGGAGTTCGTCCATCCACAGTACTTCGGGGGATTCCCAGGGCAACCAAAAGTGTCTCTGCCCCATAGAGATACTGGCTCTTGCGATGTGAAGCAATCTCTGAACCGCACCGGCCGAACCGCGCGCCTCTCTTGCATACATACTCGTCCAGCTGCCAATCCTGCAGAGGCGTCGCGCATTGGCTTTGCCTTTTGCCACCACGCCGCTTTTTCCCTGGTTGGGCTAGCGACCTGTTTAAACACGTTTAAAGTTTAAACCACTATTGTTGAACCAACCTCCTTTGGGCTTCCCTTCAACGGGGATCAGGTGTTGCTCGCTCAAACAGTTTTGCCTAACCCTGTGTTTTTCCTCTTCACAATTCACACGGGCCATGGTAAAAACTCCAAAGATGTGTCATGGTCATCCCAGGACCCCCTACATCCGAGCGCATGTTCGGAAAAGTGGGATATTTTGGCACCTGAGTAACCATGGTTGCAACCCCATGGCCTTGCTACTCGCCAAGTACTCTGCCCCTTTCACTTCCGCATAAATTCACATGGAATCCCAGTAAGCCCTTGTCAATGGACCCTTACTCCCGAAGCCATACATGCCCCCTATGTACATTGGATTGAAAGCATGTAAGCCCCTTGAGCACGGCGCGGTTCCGCCACATGGCGCGGGTGGAAATGTCTCGCTTCTAAACTGTGCAACGGAGTCAGTCGAAAGCCGTCTCCGAAAAGATGAATGCAGCTCAACCAAGAGGAATCCCAAGTCGGGAGAGAACGATCAACCCAACTGGGAATGCCTGAAACTGGCTTTGAGTGGCTTTCTCGAAAAAACGCGCCCTCTCTGCGACCTCAATGCGAACCACAAAATGGCGGCTTGCCTCTTCATCTCCACTAGGTCCGGACCTAGGAATAAGGCTACCCTTCTTTAACTTGTTTTTTGCTGTAGTCTAAGTAGTCTATATTATATTAGGGGGTTCCCTCCCCACAATAGAGAAAGAAGGGCACTGGGGCACCTAGTCCACTTCGTAGGTTAAAAAAACGCACCAAGTCCACCCCCGTGCTCCCAACTCGCAGGGTCCTTGGGGCCCAGCAGCACTGCCAGAGAGTCCTGACGCGTCCAGTCGCTTCCAGGCAGGCCCCGGTTTCACCCCAGCTACCATGGCATTTGTTAGCTGCTTGTACCATGCTTGGCAAAATGTTTGTGTCAAAAAACAAATAACCTTCGGGTTGGAAACACTCCTTGGCTCACCCTTGCCAACAGTTTATCCTCACGCCGGCTTCCTTCTAGTGTACCTTCACACAGCATCCAAGTTTGGAACCATAGGCCAGAGGAAACTCCACTCTGACCCCCAAGTGAAGAAAACCAAACGGACATTGTTTGGACAGTGGCCTAGATGTTGGCCCAGCCTGTGTTTTGACCACTTTGGGTTCATGGGGTGTGAAAGCACAGATGCGAACCCCCTGTCTTCCAGCTGCATGTCTTGAAAAAACAGGCGGCCCCAGATTCTCAAAGTTTAGACACCCCAACAACTTCTAAAACATCGAGTTAACGTTGTTATCTTCCCAGGATTCATGCTCACAAACTGGCTCATTGTCTGCGTGGACTTGCCAAGCAATGTCCCAACTTTCTGTTTGCTTCTAAGAGGGCCTTCCCAGAGGTATGTCTTGAGTTACTCAGGACGTGGGTTACCTCAACCATAGGTCTCCTTTTGGGGGAAATAGATGGCCCTGGTAGATGTGTAGACCACCTGGTAAACCAGGAAGCGCCATCTATTTTTCTGCCAAAACAACCAAAAAGGACACCTATGGCTTCAACTCTTAGCTGTAGAGCAGTGAAACTCTTTCCAGAAGGCTCATTCACCTAGTCGGCCCCGGCCAAACGAAAGAGTTGGCTGCTGTCAACGGAAGCAAGGAACACACCTGCCGTCGTGGAAAGGTGCTGGGGTCCTATTCATATATGGCTAATCTGGGTCCACCTCAAAAGTGGCTGGTGGACATAAATCCCCACCTAAATGGTGTCCACCAAAGGGTCCCCCATTAAAATTCACCCCCCATATTTATGAACTCGAGCATGGCACCTACAATCACCTACAACTGTTGCTTGCGAGGTTCCCCACTCAAAGAAGTTTGTTAACAGTGAGTCATCTGCTCCATAGCCACAGCTCCTTGGCGATAACTCCTTGCAAAGGCCATGGTCATGCTTACTTCATCGACACATCTCACAACAGGCGGCGGTGGTCTAATCCAAAATATCTTGAACGCCAAAGTTAAGAGCTAGTATCCCAGCTACACCACGCTTAAGACACAAATGCTGGTCCGTAGTCTACCCAAATAATTAAACAGTTTTCGTGGAAACACCCTTGTTGGCTTCCCGTGAAATGGATCTGACACTTTTTTTACAATGACGCCAAAAGCTGCCATGCGGGTTCCTGAAGAAGGACCGCGACACTTCTTGAGTGGGTTTGTGCGAGCTGCGAAAGCACAGGCGTCCATGTCTCCGTGAGACCTGCAAGTGGGGGTCTGGTGGCCTGCGCAGAACCGATTGCGCGTCATAGTTAGCGAGAACATCAGGACCCAGGCACCCCCATGGAGCCCTGTATTGGCAAGTGCCACGCCCATCGCGAAGTGAGACCTTCTATGCCGTGCAGGTTGGCTGTGGTGCAAGGAGACCGGCCGTATCACAGGAGTCCAGCCAAAACTTGGGGCAGGTTTTCCCGACCGCAAGGATGCGCAGGGACAACAACTGAGGCGGCGGATGGGGTACTGCGACCCCCGAATGTCGAAGACCTGGGATGCATGGCTCACGGCACCGCCACGTGCAGGGCGCCCGAATTCTCAAGGCACGGACCTACATCAGGCTGCCCGAAGCTCCAGGAAATAACACGTTAACCTTTCGGTGACCAAAACATGGACCACTAGGGCAAATCACCAGGTAAAAGGTCGGCTGCTTTCTGCTCCCCTGCTAAACGTTTAACTTTTAGTGGTTTGGTGGAAAACCCATTGGTTGGCAAACAGTTAAAGTCCTAACAGCCAAGCAAAATGCGCCAAAGACCGGGCAAAAAGGTCCACTTTGAACCAAGCCTGGCGCGCTCCATGGGTTTCCTCTGAGCTCGCCGAGGCAAAACCCCCCCCACTTGCCGCTCGCTTGCCGCCTCGGAAGGTCGGCCCCAGCGAAGCAGCAGCACGCTGAGCACAGCGCCCAGCGCGTAACAGGAAGTCGTGAGGCTCACAAACCTGGAGAAACGAGAAGGCGCCTCGTTGGTTTGGAGTTGGTTTTGTTGCGACAGTCGCATGTTTGCCGGCAGAGCCGGGGGAGAAGGAGGCGAAGAAGGTCTCCAATGTTTATTTACTATTACAAGCATTCGAACCAATGGGCTTTCAAAGTGGACAACAACGAAGTCTCGACAAGACGCTCCCTTTCCGACCCAGGTTGTGGGATCACTCGGGGTTTATCCAACCACTTCTGTGATACAAGGGAATCTTCCCCCCTTTTTATGGGGAGGCCATTTTGTATCACACAAGCGGATTCCATTTCCCACAAACCTGGCGACCCTTCCAACCCATCTCTCTCTCTTTCCGGGTTCGCGAAATTTGTTCCACTTCCCGCCCCGCTAAAAAATTACATCGGGGAGTTGAAAGCCCTGGAGCTCCTTCGGGTTTCCATCGGGTTTCCATACCGTTAAGGAACTCCCCCTTGGAGCCCTCCCTCCGGGATTCCCGATTCCCAGAGCTAACACTTGTTGAAGGGAGTGGGGGGCAAGGGCAAGTTGGCTACCCCCTGCAAATACCCGCACATGTGTATATTGTGAACACGTGGGCAAATACCTCCTGTGTTAATCAGTTGCTGACATGATGAACAAACGGTATTTGGAGAAGGGGTGGGTGCGTCTTGAAAAAGGAAACCCGCTTCAAATGGGTTGTTCCCAGTGAAAACCATCCAGGGCGAGTTTGAGAAACCATGCAGAACCTGATGCCTTTTGGAGGGGCTTGCTTTAGCAAACCTCAACTGAGCAGGGGTGACTCAGATATTCGCAGTGAGGGTTGGTACCAAAAAACCGACCACCCATCTGGAAGAAAAGGCGCTGTTCTTGACGCATGCTCACGGTTGACAAAGTGTTGGCATTCCAGTTCTATTTCCTGTGGCAGTCACACAACAGCCAACTCAAGACCCAATCCACCCAAGCTTGAACTGGCATGTCGTGGGCGCATCCGAGCGCCAATCTTTTCCAGCAGGTCTTGCTTTGTGTGGCTCTACCCCCAAAGCCTGACCTTTTAGTGCACTGTACTTAAGGGTGCTAGCAAAAGATAGGGACCAATCATTCACATTTCCCTTGAACAGCGGCAAGGAAAAACAAGGTCACTACGGGACATCCTATCGACTCTTTGGTCATTTTACAGGGGAAGATTCCATCGGTGCAACAGACGTTGGCTCCAAAACCCAAAGCAACTCCACAACCCTACTTTCCCTGGGTTTCTCTTCAAATGGCCCTATTTCCGACAACCATGGTTCGACATATTTCGAAGCGGCTCTCGTTTCTTCAAATGCCATCGAAGCTCGTGTAGTCACCAATGACCCCCACGCTCCAGACGTACAAGCCCGCTGACGCCGCCGTCATGCCCTGGCGGCGGCAAGATTCTTGGCCACGGTGCCAAAGTCGGTGCATTCTCTAGAGTGCAAGTGAAGAGGATGACTAGAACAATTTATCTGGATGTGGGCAAGTGCAGGGGATGACTTTCATTTTGGCGCATTTGTTTGCACGGCCGAAACTTAGACTCACCGCCGATACATAGAGTCTTTCAACTAGGAGTGGCTCAAGATTAAGCAGCAGGGGCAAACCGCAGGTCTTGGTCCATGTCTCCACTTACCATCTTGTTTTTGTGGTACGTTTTTATGTTTTTGTTTTTTTACGGTACGTTTTTTGGGCACGTGTTTTTTGCCAGCTTGTTTTTGTGGTACCGTTTTTTTTGGTACCGGTGTTTTCAGCGGCCAAATGACCTCTGGCTTCCCGAGAGCCACTTCAGAGCGTCAAGTCCTCTCCAGGGGCCCCCGCCAGTGCCACATAGGCCAAGAGCTGCCACAAGATTCCTCGTGGCGGCCGAGGTGTTGAGTCCTTCTCACCTGTTTGGCCAGAAGTCCAAACACGGTTTTGCCACACACACACACCCCACACTCAACAAGTCAGTTGTTGAGTGAACTGGAGTTTATTGGGATTTCCCCAAGAAGAACTTGTTGGAATTATCCCGCCCGGTAAAAAAGAGAGAACAACAAGTCCAGAAACTCAGCTGGGAATGGGCTAAGTCGACTCGGCGTCGGTAACTCGGTGGCCAACACTTACCAAGAAGCAACTAACATCCCGAAACTCGGGGAGGGAGCTTTGAGGTGAAACCGTGCCCCATTCCCCTCAGTGACTGGACAAACCTATAAATATGTGTATGTATAAATGTATATATATATATGTATATATATATATATGTACCAGTCCCTGGGCCACGTACCCCCCCCCCCCCCCAATGGTATGGTCCCCCCACTCCCCCGCATCATCCGCATCTTGGGGATGATGCTGGCAATGCTGGGGATGCTGTCCAGTACCGTGCGAGCCCTGCAGCTTCGGTCCCAGACCCCCTTTCACCCCGTGAACCAACACCCCCGCACCTCTCGCAACATCCTACCCTAAACCAAACCACCCTGCAACCCCTCCTTAACCCCAACCCTAAGCCTAAATCAGCCCAAAACCCAAACCCACCCGAAACCCACCGCAAACCAACCCTGAACCAACCCTGAACCAACCCTAAACCAACCAAAGCCTAAACCAACTCCGAACCACACCCCAACCACCCAACCACCCAACCACCCAACCACCCAACCACCCAACCACCCCACCACCCCACCACCCCACCACCCCACCACCCCACCACCCACCCCACCCCCCACAGAAAAAGGGGGGGGTTGGCCCAACCACCCAACCACCCAACCACCACCCCCACCACCCCACCACCCACCCACCCACCCCCCCTTACAGGGGGGGGGGGGGGGGTTGGGGGGGGGAGGGGGGGGGGGGTCCACGGCCTGGAACATATATATATATATATATATATGGTCACCCCCCCCCCCCAGGGCCTACCTTTGCCCTCTTCTAGTTGAAGGTGTCAACTCTACTCTGTGTGCCTCTTTCTTGCAGATGCCTGCAAACACTGTAAAATACAGTGTGTTTGTTGTTTTGTTACCTTCTATGTGACAGCAAATGTCTGATTATTTGAGGCTTGAAAGGCAGCAAAGCGAAAACGGATTCCGTTTTCAGATTCGAGCCTGGCTTTGATTGAATCACTGGTTTTTACAGTGGCTTTGAGTACACCAGGGAAAAACATTGAAAAAATGATGTTTTTGTCAGCTTTGAGCTCTGAACCTGCACAGACCCAAAAGCACAAAATCTCCTGAAAATGAAAGCTCTGAGACCTGCACATGCCAAACACATCTCCAGACCAAGTTTGGGAGTCTGGGGATATGCGCCCTTTATTTGTTTAGCCACATTTAAGCTAAATCATATTTGGGAATGAGTTACTATTAAAATTTGATTGCAAAGGCCAAGTGATTTCTTTCCAGAATAAGCTATATTCCAATTCAAGCTGTATTTGGGGATGGATTCTTGATCAAATTATTATGTTCAAAAGCTAATTGAATTCTGTCTGCATTAAAGTATATTTGGATTCTACTGCAATCATATTTTCCTTATTTGGAAAGGTATTCCTGTTCAAATTCTGATCTAATATAGACATTATGGTGAATTATGAATGGTGGTGAACTATGTGCTTACTAAATTCTATTCAATATGCAAATTCAATTCGGATCAAAATCGTATTTGGAAAGGAATGTGTACTTGGATATGTTGGACTCCAGGCTCCAAATTATGAGGCTTGGAGAATCCAACATTAGACATCTCAAGGATTCTGATCTCCAGATTCTAGGTTTCAGGTGTTTCAAATTGGACATTTCAAGGGATTAGAGATCCAACAAAATGCTGTAAAACAGAGTGTTTTGCAGCAGTTGCTCAGATTGTGTTCCCTTGGACCGAATGGACAGCCTTTGATATAACAGTGCAGCAGTGATGACACACCCACACACAATCATCAACCTTTTAGGACCACATGCCCAAACCACATCAAACAAGGCCTCAAATGAGTGTCCTTTTTTTCCCAAACAACAGTCTCCACTTGCTACGCAATAAGCCTACAGAAGGTTTATAAACTTTCAGGAAAGTTTATAAACCTTATTGAGTGTTTGACGAGTTTCCCGCGTCAAGGCAACAACACCCTACGAAGTGTTCATGGTATCGTTGAAGGAGGGGGGGGGGGGTGGTTGGAAATTTTGGGAGGGGGGGGGGGGGTGGTTGGTTGGAAGTCTTAGCAGTGAGGTGTGACTCAGCCAACTTTGTAAAGACTTCTCAGTACCCCCCCCCCTCCCCCCCCTGACCCCCCCCTGCCCTTGTTGCAGGGAAACCGTCAAACCCTTGACATGGTTTATAAACTGTCTTGTAAGTTTATAAACTCTTTGCTGTTGTTACTCAACATGACTTGTCACCCACAAAAAAATATGCAGCAACAGCACACTTCTTGCGTATATATGCTCACACCCCCTGTCTTTAAAAATAAGAGGGTTTTGTACATTTTGAAGTGGAAAGGTAGGCCCTGGGGGGGGGGGGGGGGGGGTGAGCATATAAATATATATGCGTGAATATGGATCAAATACATATACAGGGGTTGATCAATGTTCCTGGCCCTTAAATGACCATGGGTAACTTTTCCCATTAGTGGGACATGTCATGTGTTTAGTGGTTTTCCCCCATGAGAATGCCGTGTAAAGAACCTTTTGATCAACCCCCATATGTAAATATGTATATATAGTGTACATACATAATATTATTAGCACAACAAGGTATCAACCATAACTTCATTACAAGTGGGCTTCCAATGGTTGATTCAAAGCACCAATAATCTAGGTGACGTATAAAAAAAAAAACACAGGCCTCAAATTCGAAAGTAGGCTCCCCAAGCAAGGGGCCTTCATAGTCCATGGGTTCGCAAACAAATCCCGATACTTTGCCCGGACCAATCAAGAACAAACAAAACTGACTTTGGTTGAACGGGTCTCTGGTCGCCTTTCGGAAACTGATGAAAAGCTGATGAACTGACGCACTCGCCAAGCGAGCCCGCACGGAAGCGAAGGCTGGGATGTTCAAAATGGAAAGCTTCAATCGAGTTGTGCATAACTGGACCGTCCCTGCAAGATGCAAGGGACAGTTGGATGCTGTGAATTTCAACACAGTCCCTTCTGGGGAACGTGAGAGGTCCCCAGGTGCGGGGAATTATACGGGGGTGTTCAACATGATATATATATATATATATCGACCATGGGCCGAAACAGTTCCATGCGCAATCTGCTTGTGGGTGACTTGCTGAGCGCTTGATTTGAACAGAATCAGCACGAAACTGCCGCTATGAGATTACCAGGTGCAGCACGAATCGGACAACGTACTGCTCGCAAGCAGGAATTCATGAATCCGCAAGGAATGTTCATGGGGAATCAAAGGTTCCCCCCCCCAGCTTGCATTGTGTCGCGCAGACATATCATAACTTCGGATGGAAAAGCCCTCCGGATGGTCAGCATGCACAAACATCACCCATGTATTCTGATTAGCAATCTCGTTAAACCTCCTTGACGTTCGTCGAGGTTTGATGAGGAAGAGGAACCTGGTTCTGGCGGCTTTGTAGGACAATGGTGCTCCAAACAACCTAGGACACGATTAAAACAAAAAAATGCTCTACCTTCCTGTAGTCAGTTTGAACTTTGAGGGCAACCCTAACTAAACCTAAACAAAACCTGGAAAAAAAGAAAACTAAAAGGATGGGCAAGTGTATACTGAGTTTCTGCTCAATTTCGGTCCCATCCCGGTCCTTTCCGAAAGTTCAGCACCCCAGTGATTGCCAGAAAGAAGCGAGCTGGGCCTCGGGAAAGGGCCACGACGCGGGGACCCTCATGACCTTCCAAACAGTCGTTTTGTTTTTTTTTTTTTTTTTTTTTTTTTTTTTCCGTTTTTTCGTTTCGAGGGTTAAATGAGAACACTACCACTGAACCAACTAAACCTAAAAAAAACATGGAAAAAACTTTAAAACATAATAAAAGGATGGCCAGGTGTATACTTTCCTTGCGGTACATGCCAAGTCCCAACAAGCAGGGGCATGGTTCCGGCAGTCTGACGGACTTGATTGAGGCGGTCCTAAGCATCCCAAATGGACATACCCCACCTATCAGTGGGTGAGAGCGGCTTGTACTCTGAGCACCCAAGGCCCCAACAACTGCTTATTCCCACGTCACAAATCCCAGGTACTGTCCTGGGGTGCTGGGTGGATCTGATTTCATTGCCGGACCCCCCCAATGGCTGGCCAATTGCCGGCACATCGATTTTGGGCAAAATGATGTCACTTTATGTCTAAGTGACTGCAAAAGCAATTTGCTATTAAGTATCACTCATGTGTACTTAGTGCAATTTGTGCAATAATACAAGTGACCTTCCAGGGTCCTTTGGCGGGGGGGGCTGCAGGGGAACGGGGAGGCTGGCAAATTTGAGTTTGGAGGGCAAGGTTGAGGTTGGGAGGGGTTTTTGAGGAGCGTGTCACGGCGTGTCACGACGCGTCGGGGGTGAATCACATGTACCTTGAGCGGTCACTTTTTGTGGATATGAGCGTGTCACCAGCTCGTCGCCCCCCCCCCCTTGCGCGTTGCGTGTGCAATGATCATACAAGTCAGCCCAACACCTCAACTGGCTCCCCTCTGGTATCCTGAAGTGACGTTTCAACAAAGTGACCTTTCCCTGCAGTTGATGATGGCAAAACATTTATGTGACTACAAAACCATTTTTGAGCAAGTGCTGGTCAATTGCCGGCACTTCACCCGGGACGCCAACTACCGGCCATTGGGGGGAGCTGGGATTGGTTTTATGCAGAAATGACAGGCATTTGCCAAACGCTTGCACGCAAGCAAAACTCAACTTCTCCGGCAATGTTGAAATTCGCATGCTGCGCTGTTTCTTGCTCCGGCCCGACCTTGCGAGTGCCGCCAGCAGTCGTGCCGAGCTTTCAGTGAAATGTCGTTGGCTGGCTTGACGTGCAAAAAGTCGCCAGCATTGATCACAGCTTCCCAAACAGCTGCACCGCTCAGTAGGCTCGGGTTCAGTTCATGGACGTGCTGTTTGGCACGCATGCTTGTGGCAGCATGTTTTCCGCGGCGGGAATCAGAATAATCTTGTGCTGCCATCGATTCTGCATTTCTTCAGCTTGCTTTTGAGCGCCATGTCTATTATTCAGGTTGGCTAGCCCGCAAGAGACAGAACAACTGTGGGCGTAGTTCTGGCTGAGAGAGTTCTTATTGTCTTATGGTTTGCAGGATTTGGAGACCCAAGAAGTGGGGTATCTCTTCGTTCCTTCAAAACCACAGTTGGCTGCTCACAAGACGAAAATACTTCATTCACTAACCCGAGCACGTGGCCGAAAACCTTCCCGAAGGCACTTCTCCTCCGCAGAATTTCTTTTTGGCCGAGTCGATATCGGATGGAAACTCCTCATTCGGGAATCCCTAAATGACTGGCGGGCTTCCCGGGGCCCCTAAGGACCCCTCTGATTTACCTGAAGTTACCACTCACTAGTTTTCTTGAATAATACAATATATATATATATATACATATGTATGTATGTATATTAAGGGTCCTGCTATTTGAAGTCAACCAACGTTTCAAGTGCGCCCCCTGTCTTAAGCCAACAAAGCGGAAAAACAAAAACAATGGTCTTGACCTCCAAAGAAACTACATCACTTTTTGCCAGCTTAAGACACCTTCAAGGTAAGACCTCATTGCTGCCTGCTCCAAGTAAAGCTTCAAAGTGTTCTATTGCTGGGTATAGAGAGCCAAGATCAGGTCCTTTTGTCAGGTTGCATAGCTGACAGTGCCTGATGGAAACTGTTTGGGGATCCTTGGATAAGATTTCATGCTCCGGGCAGCAAGTCATCACAGAAATCTAGTTGATTCCCAACTGTGCTTCAATCACATTTCTTTCCAACCGCAGCTGCTTTGCTGTCTTGAACCTGCTATTACAGAAATAAAATTGCCGGTTTGGTCCTTAGAGGGCGCCAAACTCCCACGTGGTTTCAAAAGGTAATTACTGGGGTCAAATGCCGAAACCACCAATCCAAACCACCAACATCGCTGGATCGAGTAAAGCCGTGGTGCAAATCAGCGATCTGCCATCAAGTGGTTGGGCCTGGCGAACACATGGACTCAAGGATGAACGAACCTTCGGCTTCTCTCTCTGAAATAGGAGAACCCCCCACAAAAAAAAACGAGACGTGCTGCTGGTCTTCCTTTAAAATACCCCTAAACGAACAACAAGTGCAAATGCGCAAATCCAAAGAATACAAATGATTGACTTGTGAGACCTCCTTTGAAGTAATGGGCAAAACTCAAGGCTCCTTTTTATCTATCAAATGGACGGAACGGGCACCTTCTAATCGAAGAGATGATCGAAAGGGTACCAATGAACCCTTTCGGGGGGTGAGAACTTGGGCCCATGTCACCTAACCTTTTTCTGGATTGGTCGCGGCCTGGACGAAGAACAAAAAGAAGAACAAGAAGAGCCCCTGCAAACCCAGGTTGCAACCAGGCAAAAGAATCCATTTCTTTTCGCGAATGATCATATTTCGAGGGCAACCCACTGAACAAACGGAAAACACAGGTACCACTGCACTGGCAAACATGGGCCCACTTTTTGTCCCGCAAAAGGGTATTGGGTCGGACCACTTTCCTTTTTTTGAGGGGGAAACACCCTGTACATCCACCGGGTTCCGCTGAACTCTAGCATTTGGTATTTCCAAGTCGATGTAAAAGGAGGCTCTTCCAAACGCATTCGTTTCGAGTCCTCAGTTTCAGGTGACCTGCATCTCCTCCTTGTGTCGTCTCTGGGATCTGTTTAAGCCACTCAACTGCGCAAAAAAAAACATGAGCTGGAATAACCAAGCCCATATCTGCGAAAGCAAAATAAGTAGAACTTGGACAGCAAGTCACCAATCAGGGTTGTGGCATGGACTTGTAGGTTGGTTCCCCCGACTCATGAGCCCCAAGCCTTGTCCAAATTCCTAGTCCTGTTTTGTCCGCCCTAGAGAGGCTACGTGTTGAGGCCCTGCTCTACATGTGTGAGCGTGGTTCCTGATCCTTTATGTTCCACGGCGAGCATATTGGATTCCAACTTCACCGAATCTGGGTACCAGGTCGAAAGGAACTTGGTTGAAAGCAAGTAAGCGCCGCCACGTCGGTGTGGTTCCTGTTGTTTGGGCACCCCATGTTGGTTCAGGGGACATTGTTGGTTGGTGTTCAGGGCAAACCAAACAAACCTATCTAGCAAGGGCTATGCCCAGCCCGGGCATAGATGTTCCTTTAAAAAAAACACTGATGAGTTGTCAGTCGGGATCTCTAGGAACTGAGCTTCTTGCCAAGGGTCTTCTCTTTCCTACAGAATTGCCTGCACAGTCGCAAGAAACAACATTCTTTGATTTCCCGAACGCTCACTGTGGCGAAGTGGCAGCCGATGTTTAGCCCACAGGACGATTTTCCCTGACAGGACACTCAGCTCTTTGATGCGCCGACGAAGGGAATGGGGGAAATTCCTCACACCTGAGAAGCTAT